TTACGTACGTCTACCTTTGGTACAATTTCCCTCACTAATAACTAATATCGTAAATTCTCTTTGTTCAGTGTTATCGGCTTTTCATTCGCCAAAACGCAAGTGACAAACGAGCGTTTGAATACAATCGGAAAATCGTAGCTTAATTCCCATTGAATTTCGTTTAAAATACGACATTATTATGACGGACATAATGAAATGGAGTTGAAGATCTTCGGCAATTACAAATGCGTTTTATGTACTTGTTTAATTATTGATCGAACATTGCGACATCCGATTCAAAATGATTCTTTTTTTATGAAAATCAGATCTTCTTAACAAAGAAAACAAATTCGTCAAGTTTCGTAGCGAAATTGATCAAGCAATTAAATAGGACTAGTTAGCATCATTAGTCCCTTCCTACTATAATCCGAAAATACACGTTTATTCATATTTCAGAGCAGTGTTGAATATTAATCAATTAAAATGTTACTTGTCAATACTACAAATCAATAAACAAAATTAGTCAATTGTCACATATAAAATCACGAATAACTGAATCGACTAATGAAATTGATTTTTTATAGTAGTTGCATACATGGTGATTGATTTATTTTAATTATGGATTTACTGATTACAGCGATAAGTGGTAAGAAGTTGTAAGACATTTTATTTTTGACCTAATAAATGTTGATCCTAGTGTTATTTTAGTCAAATAAAATTTCAATCAACCAATGCCCAACACACTGTCTCAGAGTACTCGTAGTACTCGTCATCTAAATATTACATTTTGATTGAAAAATCAAACAATCGCAATGCATGTTGTATTTTCGATCTCTGGTAACTCTGACCGTCTTGCGAGGTGAACTTCCGCGATCGATTTCTTCCATTTCGACCGCGCTCGATGCAAGCTCGCGAACTCGACTCTCGTAAACGGTCCTCATATAAAGAGATAATTCTCGTAGTCGGCGTAGGAGGAGGCAGTCACGTGTTTCGACGAGAGCGGCGTCGACGGAACGCTCTGCGGAAGTTGTTGCACCCGCGGCAGTTGCACCTGCGAAAGATCGGCGGCGTGAGGCACGACGATTCGCGGCGTCTGATTGATGGAGCCTAACGACAGATGATGCTGATTCTGGTGGATAATGTTGTTGTTGTTGTTATTCTTGTTTATAGCGGTGACGCTGACTTTTCCAGCGAGGTGATGCAAGCTCAGGTGATTGTTATTGTCGAGCCTCGGGTTGTAGCTGGGAAGACCGTCGTGGAGATTCAGTCTCGACATCGCCATGGTGATGCTCGAATCCGACGCCCACATGCTCTGAAACGACGCCAGGTTGTGTAACGGATTTGACTTTCTATTAAGCTCTTATGAATAATTCCGAGATGGCAACGTAATTATACGGACTGGATTTGACGACTATGGTCTCTTTGTTTGGGTGCGCAATGCGCCTTGCGATATCTCTTCTTAAAAGATAGTACGAAAGACGTCAAAGCTGGGTCACCACATGACATAATATCGATTCTTAAGCGAAATTAATTATAAAGCAAATATCATAATCTATTTGAACTGTGCATTTGTCTGTACAATGTGCTTCGTGAAGATGAACAAAGCGATTGGTTAAAATCGTTCACGAATAGTTTACCTAAGAAATAGAAAACGTCCAATAGTCGGGACTTTATCTATTTTCGACATCTTCATTTGTTTAGATTTTGTCAAATATTAAGATACACGAGGAGATTTATTAATTATTTATCGATTATTATTTATTATTTGTCTGCTTATTTTCTTTCAAACTGAAAACTGGCGAGCATCGTAACAAGTGCTGGTTATTGGAAGCTTTCTTCTACTTTCGTAAGGCTACATCCACTTAATAAATTATGAAATTGCTGGTTATGAAAGAAATTCTTTTTATGTAAATGAATAATACTTGTAATAGATAGGTTCGCGTATAGATTTAAGCAGATTTAAAAGTTCCCGTAGCTAAATAAATATAGCAGTAGTACCTTCCGCCTATGTGGATTGTAATCTGGATTGCGTCTAATACGAAGATGTCTATCCACACTAGTCCACCGTTGCGTGACCTTGAGCGGAGAGTCGTCGGGGTGTAATTTCCTTTGGTACTCTTCACCTTCGCAGACCTCGTAGAGAGAGAACTGCTCCACTGGTTCCTTGGAGCTATAGCAACTCAGCAGCATCTGGATCAACTCGTCTACGGTGGTCTGCTCCGAGACCAGAAGGCTCTTGTACTTAGACTGCGAACCATGAGAATTGCGTTTACTCTCAATTACTGCGATAAAGAGTGAAATCTCTTGGAAGAAGAATTTCATTATCACGAAATGCTTGGGTACGGTAACTGATACAAAATATATAAAAATGAAAGAAATAATTAGTCATTTAGCTACATGATTAATTTGTGAATGACTTTTAAGAAAGTTATATTATGCAATGTAATTTACAATTAACAACCTTAAGTTGCAAACTTTTTTTTTTAGAATTCTGTGATTACATATGAATAAGAATAATATTTTATGATATTATAATTACTATATTATAATTACTATATTATAATGTATTATGATATTATGATATTATGTATAGTATATAATATTACATATCATGTAATGTATATATTATATTTATATTATGATTATAATATATTTTTTAGTTCAATTTTTTAATGTGTTAAGAGTTGAACGTTAAGATACAGACCACGCTTGTTTGTTTATGTAAGAATGAAAATTTACTTACCCCGGACATGAGTGCGCTGTCGTATATTTTCACAAGTCCGCCGCGGCGCGTCTGCAACGAAAACCTGCAAACGAGAGGAGGCATATGTAAGCACACAAGTTTATGCATCAGAGATTCCGCGACGCGGCGGCAGGAGTCGGTGAGTTCAAAGGACACCAAGGAGCGTTATTTCAGCGTAAAAGCACCGGTTTGTGCTGGGAGACAAACCGCTCTCGTCCTGTATTACGTGTAGTCGCGCCGGAAGTCTCAACCTACCGACAAAACATCGGTCGCGTCTTAGAATTCCTTCACAAATGAACCATTCCGACGTCGCTGCGACTATTCTTTTTACAAACTAGTAAATTGTAATAATTTCTTTTCCATATTTGTAATCTGACCATTTTTGTAATCTGATGTACCAATGAAAAAATCCCGATTTTCTTGATTGTGTCCCGAAGTTTGAAGCTGGTCGATATCGCAAAATTGGTTGTTTTGAAAAGTTGGTCACCCTAAATCCGGACCGCCGTAGCATTCCGTAAATTCTGTGAAACCGGACAGTCACGTTTGCGTTTTTCGCGAAGCGTGAGTTAAAAATCGCAGAGACCCACGCGACCATTTGTGTCTGCGGATTATATTGGTGAGCGACGCTCACTATTGTTGGCTCGTGCTCAGCGATCCACGGGACGTGCCTACGGTCGCGAGACCTGAAATTACGTCACGAAGCCGACCGAAACTGAGAGAGGGCCGGTCATCAAGACAGTACAAAGGCAGCAAAACGTACTTGGAATCGCCGCGAGGATGGCAGGATTGCAGGACGGCTGGTCGTGCGTCCTCGTCGAGCGGTAGGATGGTGCGCACGTTGGCCCTTCTCACGGTCACTTCCATAGTTAGGTAAAACAGTCGTGGATCACGGTGCCTCATTCGGTATTTGTTCAAAAGATTCTGCACGACTTCGCGACAGGTTGTTTCATAGGTGATACCCAAAGTCTTGTATTCGATGTCCGGCCGCAGGCAGTTGGCGTACACCTTGATGGTGGTCTGCAATGAAAATTGGAAGTCTTCCATGAACATGTGAATATGCGTTACAATCAACCGCTTGATAAGACTATACAATTAGGAAATCGCTTGAGAGATCTAAGGTAAACGTCCCAGTGGTCGAACATACATGTCCCAATGATTGACATATTGGTTTTGTATTTTTCTTTGTTGAAATGCTTTTCAAAATGCATATACAAAACAATATAATAAATGAAAAGAAATATTTAGTTACTTTGTGATTTTGTTTCATTTATTGATAAGCGTCTTAACAAACATAAGTATATTATTAGTAATTTAATTATCGGCACATGTTCAATCACTAGGACGTTTACCTTATGTTGAAAAATATTTCTTCTAAGAGAAAGAGAAAGTGTAAATTCATATTTTTCGCGATTCTGATTAGCAGTTTATGATAATGTAAATGTCAAGGAAGGAATTGAATGTTAGGAAATAATATTGAGATATTACGATGTAAAAAACGTTAAATAAATGAAAAAATATTATGTTACGGTCCTTTCGAGCGCGTAACCGCAAAAACAATAATGCGTCTAGGTACACAACGAATAAGCCATCATAACAGTCTTCGACGCGAGGATAAACACAGCAGGAAATGTCGCGCGTAATTTTCGATTTTCCGGGTTGAATCAAAGCGTGAACGAGGCATTTCTGTTTTTATTAGTTTAAAAAAAGAAATATACCTTCTAGATGTCTAAAAATATCTTTTTTCTTTGCGATTTTGTTAAAAGCGGCATGATATTCGATCCACGATTTTGTATATGCATGTCGCGATTCGCAAGTATATTTTCCAAATACTGGAATTTATTGCATATTTTTTTTTTTTGTTAAATCGCCGTAAATATAATCTGGATCGCGAGTGCAGTGAAGTGGAGTGAAGAGCGGTCGAGATGGACCAATAGCTGGTTGCTAGACGAATGCAGAGCGGCGGTCTGGAGTCTGGATGTAGCGTTGGGTTTCGTCGATAGACTTGGAGAGCTGAACGTCCCATTTGGATATTGTGGATAAATATACAATTTGAACGCTTCACATTTGAATTTACATTACGTGTTTATGTTTATTGATGATGTATTGATAAATCGTATTGGTAAATCGTATTGATCTTCGATTAAGGAAATCTTAAAATTACTAACTAGCTATAGCAGGCTTTTGCGATCTCCAATATTCCTTAGAAAAATATTTAAAACGTGTTATGTATTTGTCGAGGCAGAATGTGTTATAGAGAAGTAGGGGGATGATCTTTTTCGGGTTAAGTTTGGTCGCGACAGGAAGGAAGGCAGCGTTTGGCGGGACGGTAAAAAACTCCAACGACGCGAGTCTTGACAATTAGTCCATAATTAACTCGGGGACAGTTGGCCACGCGCGCAGCATAAAACGCTATCAACCCTTCAGATACGACTATGGTTATGGGAGGATACGCGCACCGAAAATAAACCAGACACCAGATCACCCCGTTCGCAGATGCCACTGCACGCATATGCCAACAATCACATAGATACATCCGCTTTCTGAAGATACTGCGAGTGGATTTGGGGTATAATAGACACAATTCGTACAGGAGAAATTTATTAGAGACTGGTAGGACATACATGGAAAAACAAATGGAACGCATGTGCATTTCTTTTCGGCTAATAAATTTATATTTTTGCATTTCATGTAAAATTGTGTCGGCATCCCTATATTGTTGCTGTTGCTGCTGTTGTAGCTGTTGTTATTGTTGCTGTTATTAGAGAGAAGATAGATTTATAGCCTCTCTAGATCTAAAAGATCTTTTGTAACAATTCCCTGCAGCATTTCTCTCACTAGCATTTTTAGAGTAGTTGTAAGTTGTTTGTAAACTAGAATAATTCTAGGGGATGTTTATTTATTTTGTTAGGTGTTATCATAGTCTGTCTGAAATATATTAGTTTGCGTTGACATGCTGGGCTTGCAGAGTAGGAACATAGAACATGTTCTGCTACTTTCTTTATACAAAATCAACATATTCGATCACCAGCCTCACGAATTTTATGAACATGATATTTTAAAAGACAATGCTTTATTAAGATTGCAGTTAGCATTAATCTTCCTTCTGCGGCATTTTTATATATTTTTCTATGCTTAAATTTAAATTCATCTGATATGATTTAACGCTTAAACAAACGTTTTCTACTAAATGTGTTTAGCTAATTCTCATAATGAATTATGCGCATCTTTGCACTTTTGAATCGATCTGGAATTGTCTTCCTAATTCGCATTGCTCTTTTGGACACAAAATATTGCAAATGTTTAGGTATCGATGCCACAAATCAATCGATTATCAGCTCTGATTCCGCGAACATGTGTTTGCGACATGTTTACACACAAAGTGTGTTTGACATTCGACTTTTCGTCGGTGAAGCTTTACGAGCCGAGCGTTTTTATCGCCCTGTCGAAAGCCCTTCAACACACAGTGCGTCTTTCGCGATCACACACAGCCACGCGATTCGAACGTGCCTGCACATTTATCCCGAGGGAAATACTGTCAGAGCTCGTATAAATCGTAATCGTCGCGAGAAACCGGAACCTAGATTACAAAATCCAGCTGGCTCCGTCCGGATCCGGCTAAGCTTCTTGTGCGCGAAATAAACACGTTTCGACGACAATCGTGGGATTACATATTCAATGCGCTCATTACAATGTCGACAATAGCGTTCATTGCATGCTGGCGCAATCGCGTATTAAGTTGAACACATCGAGGTTACATTTCGCCTTATTGTGCAATGCCACAGTAGGCCTTTGAAAGTGAAAAGATTCTCTTGGCCACGGACGCAGATTTAAATTGCCTTTTTTTATATTTCTGTGTTGCCAGTAATGAAATTCACTTCTCAACAGGATTGCAGGAATCAGATTTATGAACTTGCTGCGAGATTCTCGCTGGAGTTTTACGACTCAGAATCGCTAAAAAAAGATGGAACTGTACTTCAAGTGGAGCTATTAAGTGGAGCTCTAACGAAGCAGAAGATACACGTTGTGTTAGTGCAAATATACAACGATCCAACTGCGAAAAGATTTGCACTCCGTGACGAACATTTCGCGGAAATCTTTCGTGTAAACGTGGCGAAATTTCTGATTCAGCAGCACAAATTCCAATGTGCTTACGTTAATACCGTTTACGTGGATCGCGCGTGGATCGCGCGTGCACCAATCTGGATTTCTCTCTTTCTCAAGTGCGTTGTGCAGAGTCAAGCCGAGATGCAAAGATCGTTATGAATCATCGATTCCGACTAACTAATCTCGCGGTTTTTCCTCTTGTTGTTTAATTATTCGACAAAAACTGATGAAAGGTTAAAGATATTTATTCATACACTGAGAGAAGAGAATTTAGTAAATATTATCAAAATTTGGTTACTACTACTAAATGGTAGACGTAAATATAACGGGCCAAAGCTATGGCAATACTTATTAATTAATTTAGTTCTGTAAAATAAATTATTTATTTGACAGAAGTAAAATTTATTTGCTTCCAGAATATATTTGGTAAATAAAACTTATTAAATAGTTGAGAAAAATAAGCGATTTTGTAATAGTTACAAAATTTTTGGTAGGTTCAACCAACCATCTGTAATAATAGATATTGAAACGATGTAATAGTTGCAAATGAATGAATTTTTCGTTGTGCTGCAACAAAACATACTTATACTGGTAATAAAATAGAACTCGTACCTGTTGAATCTTTTATTACATGAGATATAACAATTTCATAACAATTATCAAATATCTGTCATTCATAACTGTAATATATTTCATATTAAATATTTAATATTAATTAACTATTACTAAATTATTTAATTGATGTTACTGTGAATGCAATTACGTCATACTCCCGATTTATTAAATATTTAGTAATTATTATCATATTTAGTATTAGTTACTAAGCATTCAACGAATTTCTGTAACTAAATACAGTTTGTTATAGTTACCAGTCTTTTCTCTCAGTGTAATTATAAAATAGAGAGATTATTTCACATTAAGGCTGAAAACATCAGGCATGCGAAGAATTGACGTTTAATTCAGGATTGAATCCTGAAAATTGGATTCTTGAGCTTCGACTAATTTATTGAGACATTGCTGACACATGTTATATTTGTGATACACTTTGCAGACCACTCTGCTAAAAATTACATTGAAGACCACCTCGTGAATGCAATTGATCGAATGTGTTTTCACCTCTACTGGCGGCTAATGAAAAGGAAAATAACGCGGAAGCCGAGATGCATGCGGGTGTCACAGCAACGCCTGCGTCTCGTCAAGATCGAAGAGAAGGTACGACACCCCGTTACGAGGCTCCAATATCTCGCACCCGGTTATACAGAGCGAACAGAAATATGTCTCAGGATATTTCGGTGCGACGTTTCTCGGGTTGGGAGTATCGCTCGGCTCGTGCGCGCGCGATTGACACTGCCGTTAAAAGCGCCGCCTTAATGACTTTATCAGCGTAAGTATGATGAGGCGAACGTAACGTCAACATTGCTACCGAAAGAGAACTACGGCAGTCAATAATCGGCAGCACCATATATCTCGAGCTATTTTATTATGTCTTGTGCACACTCTTCGCTTATATGGTGAGCAACTTTTTCTGAGAAGTATATTTATATTTCCGATGGTTATCATCGTAGAATTCACCTTGTGCCATGATATCATCGTTGCTATTCATAAAAACGCACACGAAGGGCTTTCTAATCGCATGCGGATTGGCTTTCATGCCCTTGATCTTGCGTTACAGTTGGTAATACAATGATATACCTCTGAGTTCTTTGCCATCGAGATGACGTGATGCGGTGTCTGTTGAGGCTCGTCTATAATACGCGGAGTAAGTTTTCGACGTATATATAAAAAAAAAATTAGAGCAAAAATAAAAATAATTTATTTCGTTTATGCACATACGCCGTCTATACTCCAACTTCTTTATATCAATATTATTTCTCTTAAGTAAGAATATAGGAGTATAAGAATAAAAGGTATTC